TTAGTCCATTCAATTTAACCAGTGCTGGCTTGAAGTTGATTTTGGTGCACTGTGGCGTTCTACAGTGGCTGACTCACACACACATGAAGTTTCCTTGGCTTCCAATAGGAAAAAACTATGAAATTTGATAATATAACATGGAAGCAATGGATTTTCTAAAGTCCCATGTGCTTCTTAAGTGCATGCAATACTCTCAAGTGGACGTGTGTAACAGCCCAATTAATGAGTAAGTGCCTAGGGAGGGAAAGCAGAAGAATATTTGCCTGCCCTGTCCTTTCATTCCAGCTCCAGACAATCAGAGAAGAGTTATTATAATTCTACCAAATGACTTGGGAAGAACAAAAACAAAGCAGAAATCTGGAATCTCTCCTGTAATCCAGAAAGCTGCTGCAAAACTCCATGAGATGTGCAGCAGTAGGTGTGACTAGGATGGAGGCTGCTGGGACTCCTTTCTGCCTCCAGTCCTTATTTTACAGGCCATAGTCCTCAATTATTCCTGCCCCTTTCCTTCTCTTGAGGGCAGATGTTTCCTATTCTTTATCAAGTTTCCATAAATGAATGAGCAGGAAGAGAAATATTGAACTGGATGAACTCTGTTGGCATTGGATAATTCTACTGTCCATGCAGCATAATTAAAGGTCAGTGATTAAAGGAGCATAATTAAATCTCCTTCCTACTTAGGGCCACTTTGGGTATTGGAAGCTATACCTTAGACTTCCCCTGCTCGGGAGGAAGTGTTACAAATGCATGAACTCACCTATTCTACCTCTTCCTACACCTCTGGAAAACTACTTTTTTCTTGTCAATCGTGGGCACTACCCATAGGAAGTGCTGCATACAGTTACAGTGCTATACAGAGCAATTTAATGCATTTGCATAGGGTGTGTGCTGGTCCCTGTGCCTTTTCTTGCTTCTTCTGTTTTATCCTATACAAAATAATTCAGCAGCCTAATGGAGAAGCCACAACAGAGGTGCCATTTTCTGAACATTGCAGTAATGTCACTTCAGTGTCTGGCAGAGGGGCTCCTGTTGAGCCAAGTGTGAATCAAGCACCTGCTATTAAAAGTAACACACTAAAGCAGGATTCCATCAATTTACTGTTTGGGTTTTTTAATATTCATAAAAATATATTTCTTGAGGCAGCAGGAATAGCAGTGAAAGGAAGGACAACTAACATCCGCATCTTCTCCATGTGATTAGAGTATTTGCATCAAATACTTTATTATGAAGGCTGGAGAACAAGAAAAGCACATTCAGCGTCATATGTTATGGCACAATCCCTCTCTGGTAGAGCAAACAATGGGACCATTATACAAGCTGACATATTTTTTGTTTCTAATATATTCTGTTTCTTTGTGTCTGTGTGTGCTTAAATAGCAGGCACAGATGTACTGTTTCCAAAGGTCTTTGACTTGTCATGAGAATACTGTCTTTACCAGTAAAATAAATTGATTACTAGTGACAATGTTAACTATTATACAAAGAACACAGCTCTGGTGGGCTTTGTTTGATTTTAAAGAAAAGGTGATTATTTCTTCCTTATGACAGTTTGAAAGGTTTGCCATGTGGATATGGAAAGATTTTACTCATGAATATGCAAAGGTATGGCAACAGGCCGGGTAGCCAGATCTTCAAATTGACCGTTGGCTCTGGTTGAGTTAGAAGAAGAAGAAGATGAAGAAGAAGAAAAACATTAGACAAACACAAAATGTATAAAACCAGCATGGGAGGTGGTTGTTAAAATAGTCAGTTGTGGGAATATTGTGCAATATTAGCTTTGGGAGTTTAATTATCAAATTGATCATATGATTACAGGGAAAACAGTGCCTCAGGTTTGTGGAAGGGCCACCAAATTCTTGAATAATATTTCTGCCTAGGGATTATTACCTGATGGTCTGATCTTTAGCTCTCTGTGCAGTGACATCAGAAAATGGGGCTATGACACAAAGCAATATACCTTTCTTATCCATATGTGTTGATTTTTCTGGGAAGCATTATATTTTGCTGAAAACAACACGAACAACAACTCATGCAGGTGTAGCAGCATGTTATAGAGCAGAGAAATTAGTGAAAGAAAGGTTAAAAAACCAGACACAAAATACATACTTTTTAAGTTGCAATGGCTCTTCAGACATTTTTCCTTTTATAATGTGAAAAATAATAAAAGACATACTTAGAGTGAATCTTTTACTAAAAGCTATACATTTATGCAGGTTTTTTCTCTAAAACATATTGAAAAAGTTCTATTTCTACAAACCTCAAGTTAAATAATTTGGGATATTTTCCAATCTAATTTCAGCTGCTACAAATATTTTCTGTAATGAGATTGGAAACAATCCATTTGCTCCCCCTAGAAAATGCTATGAGTTCTCCCTTGATTGCAGTTCAGATCATGCTGCTAAACACCAATTTAGAACACAAATCAGGCTCCTTGTTGATTGCAGTTCAATTCACGCTGCTAAATACCATTTCTCTGATCAGCAAGATGCTGCTCTGTGGGCTGCAACCTGGGCCTCTCAAATCCGTCGATCCATAATTTTTACACAGGTTGCATTACTAAAATTAGATCTATCCTATCAAATCATAATTAAGGATATAGTTGTCACCTGATCATCCAGCAAGCCTTCCCTTTTTTATTGAAATGTTTTTTCAGTGATTCATCTAGTATTAGTGGCAACCATGCGTTCCTTTGGCACATGTAATCTGCCTTTTCTTTGTATCATTAACTCTTGTTCAAATATCTATAACATCACTTATGCATTTAATCTTCCTCCTGGTTAGAAGAATTTTTCCTAAATTAATTCTTTCTCAGGATACTGGACATTTTCTTTTATTTTCCTTCCTGTTCAAAATGCTGATGGTTTTCACAATCAGTCTTCCAGGCAGGGTAAAAGAAAGAGAAAGGCTTTCCTAGAATGTGGATCCCATGGTAATATCTTGCTGATGGTGCATCTTCTCTCTGTTCTTCACTGTTAAATCCTTCCTGGTGTTGCACAGCCATTGCTGCCCCATTTCACAGCATTTGATTCCTGTCATTGTGTCCTGTACAGCACCTCCAGCCCCAGCATCTCCGTAAACTGCTGGTAGTGTTCTGTGGGGATGCTCTGCAGCACCTGTTTGTGGCATATTCACTTCTGAAAATAAGCTTACCAGTGAAATTAGCCCCTGTTCTCCACAGAAATCTCTAGGAGAGAGCATGAAATGTTCCTATACCTGTTCTGTGATCGATGGTGAAATACAGTGTATGGCAAAAGCTTCTGGTTGTGATGGGTTTCGTCTTGTCAGATGTATGTGGTACATGAACAAATGACCACAGACCAGTATGTTTCACTTTCACAGCCTTGTCCATCTTCTGATAAGCCAAGAATCACTGAATCACAGCATGTTAGTTCTGCAGAGACTCTGAGCATTATTCAACAAGACACTCTCCCTAAGATAGTGTAAAGCTTAATTTTTGAAGTGTCAAGAATATCCCAGTGGACAAGTACTGGGATTCTTTGCTCATTTTGAACCAAATTCTTAGTCTGTAAAAGCTTTCTTATGAATAGTAGGTATTCCTTAAAATGTCAGTACAGTTCAAATAGAAAAACATCCAAAATGTGACTTTATTAGGGTATTTCTTTTCTTACCCATGCCACATGTAGGAGTGGGCATGGAGACTCCCTCACCCCCTATCCCCTGATATTCCTCACTTTTAGGAAAAAGTTTGACTATTAAATTTGTGTCAGTGGGTGTTTTTTCAAAGTCAAACAAACTATTTATCATCAGACTCTCCTGAATCTTCACACTCCCCAACCTCCAATTCCATATTGCTTTTAAAACTTCAAGTGAATTCTGTTGCATTTTTATGGGCCATAGAGATACCTCCATGTTTAGGAAGACTGGGCTTTTGTAATTCCTCCAGTTCTCTGCTTCATCATCCTGTTCTTACTGTACTTGTCCAGCTTTCCTTAGGTGTCCCTCAGCCTGGTTCTTTTCTTTTCTTTACACTTAAATCAGCTAAATTCTTAAATCGGCTAAACTCCATTTCATACTCCTACCTTATTCCTACTCTGACTCTACGTCCACTCTGCCTCTGTTGACTAGTCTTCTTAAAATGCAGAATATGTCATAAAGAGCAGAATTTTAAAAGGAACAGGTGTCCAGGCAAAGTAATGAAATGAATAAGATATCTGATTTTTCTGCAACCTTTCTGCACTACTCTTCTGATTAATAAACCTGCTTTACTCTGTACGTTTTCAAATTGCTGAAAATTTATTATACAGCATATAAAAAACACCTTCTTACTGCAAACCTGCAGAGACTTGGATGGGATAGGCCCTAACCTGAATGAAAGATGAAACATGATAATAAAGGAGAATGAAGCCAAGTTTGCTTTGTCATAGCAATTTCTAATCAATCCTTATGTATCATGTGGTCATATTTGTAATGAAAATATTCTCAGGAAGTAAGAGAAAGCATAAAATGTTCATTCAAAAGCATCTACCAGCTGCGTATACTGTATTAATAGAAAGACTGATATACCTAACCAGGGGTTCACATTTCAAACCAGTAGGCCTAACAGCTTCTGAGATATAAGTAAATGAAAATTCATGATTCTGTATTGTGCCCAAGAGCCAACTTTACTGCTATTGCCATATAATTATTTATAGCTGCAAACTATCAAATGGAATTGCTTACCACCACCTTACTATATGTGGTAATTGATGTGAAGTGAGGCATTGCGTCCCCGGCTGACCCCAGCACACTGAAAGTCAGATGGATTATATCTAACTCAATTATGATTGATATTATCAAAATCCGTGAAGCACAACATGGTATAACAGGCTTTCTAAGTGTATCTATTGATTGTTTCTCCCTCTGTGTGTGTGTGCGTGCATGTGTTTTCCAAGGCTGTTGCAGTGGAGCTGTCTCTGGGGAAAAGAAGAGCCGTATTGCTGACAATTTCCACGTGTAAATATATATTTCTGATGGCTTAACTCACCCTCATTGCCTCACAGGGATTGCTAGAACTTGTACTGGAAAATCCCAGTTTCACTGGCAAAGAGTTTTGCTACAGTAAGAAAATTTGTCAGTGTGGTTGGTGGGGTTGAAAACCAAAATATTCTGTGATCTGCTGAGCTGTGACTAGAGTAGAACAAACGTTCATGTGTTCCTGTTCTGTGCCATTCCGTCAGTCCATCCCAGCACAGCAGAGGCTGTGCAAGCCCTACATCCTGCAGATGTTTGTGAAAACAGGCATAAGGCTGGAGCAATGATATGAAGTTTTCCTCACGGCAGTCTTACTATTTCCAGCGTTCTGGAGTTCAGGGACTGCTGTTTATAGCTGCATCACTGTGTTTAAGAATTTCTGATGGACATTTCTTGTTTGAATTTCCTTCTGAACCCACACACAATTTTAACATCTAAATATGTTTTAATTAAGTAGGAAGCATATAAAGAGAAATATATTTCCATATACCCTCTGGTTTGTAATTTCCCAGATTGATCCCTAACTGATGTAGTATGGGAAAAGGTGACTTTATTCCCAATTCATCTTTTCCATGTTAAAGCATGTTTTTATAGGTTTCTCACAAATTCTCTCGCAAGCTTTCCTGTCCTAATCAAAGGAATCTTATCTAATTAATTTTTCAAAAACCATTCAAAACTGTTGTTGTCATTATTATTTTTCCCTCTATTATTCTGTAATACCACATTTGAAATCCAACACTGAGAAGTATTCATGAATCAGGGGTGCTGTGTATAAATAATGTTTTTCCATTCCTCGCCTAAGCATTGAGTTAATGTTTACTGTCCATAATCACTCTCCCACTTTGCTAAGTGATAATAAATTATTTAGGGTTGCATACTGTGTTTCTGGTTTGGGGTATTGTTTTCTCTTCCCTTCCCCCCACCTGTGCAATGTTTGCTTTTGTCAGCATCTTGTCTCTTCAGCCATTTTATTAACAAGTTGCTCAGAGATTCTTCACCAAGTCTTGATCAGTTTATGTTTTCACTATCCTAGGTAATATTCTACTAGATACTAAATTGTCTCCAGAATATGCTCTCCTTCATTTTTCTAAGTCAGTTATGAATATATTACAGCAGAGGTCCCACTAGAGATCTGTAGGAAGGTACATTCCCTTCACAATGAAAAATCAATTACTTAGTTATCATTTAGTTCCCAACATGTAGGATCTATGAGTTCATGTGCTGCAGGTGAGGCTTTACTACATTGCCTGTCCTTTTTTTGATTTTGTTTTTAAGTTTTGTGGTGGCTTGGACGCAGCACAGCTCTTTCAATGACAAATTTGGGAATTCAACAAAGCATCTCACTGGCCTATTCTGGGGACTCATTTTGTGACGAGCATCCAAAGAGTCGAATTATAAAGTTGCAACAAATTAATGTCCAATCACTGTGCTGCTGGAACAGGTTGTCCTTTAGGTATTTTCCAGCTGATAGGAATATCTACAGAACAGTTTTTCTGAGATTATAAAAGGAAATCTGAATGGCTTCTTAGAAAATAATAATTATAATGCTAGGTATTGACATTTTAGAGCTTTTAATTAATTTAAATAAAAGTTCTTGTTATTCTTCTTAGCAAAGTGTACATTTACTTTCTTTACAGAGTTTCTGTAGTGTTCCTTCTCTTTTTCTCAGCCTCTCGGGACTTTCCCAGTACTGAACAAAGCAGCCATGGGACTGATCTGAGTGACCTGTTCTTTGCCTAAAGAAAACATCTGGGCTACAGGAAGTTAGTTTAGGAATGTTACCCTCTTCTCTGTTGAAATACAGTTAGAAGACTGCAAATGCATCCATACTCCAGCTACTGCCAGCTGTCAGACAGCCCTTTTGAGTCTGGAGTTACTTGGAGCTGTTATAGTATTAAGGAAAGTTACATTTGCTTTCCCACCCTCCCAGACAAGCCACACACCAGATCTCTTGAACAGATGGGTCAATATGAGTTCCTAGGCCCATGGAATTTTTGTTCATATTAGCTGTCAAAATATGAGATGGAAAAAAAGTAGTTTATTATTTTCCCCTAATTATTTTATTGATAGAAATACGTTAATCACATCATCCTTTTTTTAGCACTTATGTGGAAATATTTTTAAAAAATTGAAGAGGGTGCACTGCAAGCAGTACCTCTTTTTTTCATAACCATCAGCTTTTGGTGAACTAAAGAAATAAGCATCATTATTAGAAGATTCAATATCCATTTCAGAACAAGAAATTCACAGACCTGTGAAGGTTCTTGCTAACTCTTCACTCTTAGAGATGTACTGTAGAGATTTCCTGATACAAAAAATTTCCAAATCTGCTACAAAAATACTTATAATGCTTACTTATTTACTCTATCAAAAGTTATGCATTTTCCTTTTACAAAACTTAGATCTTAAGGAACGATATCTTGCGGGTTTTTTTTTTGGTTTTTTTTTTGTTTGTTTGTTTTGTTTTGTTTTGTTTTGTTTTTTTGGTTTTGGTTGGTTGGTTGGTTGGTTGGTTTGTTTTTGTTTTTTTGGTTTTTTTTTTATGTTATAGAATATTACCTAACCTAGTAAGTGGAACTAACTTTGGTCATTCAGAGCAAAAAATTCCAACTTTGAGTGAGCTATCAAAGGCAGGATGTCTATGTCACACCTTAATTTTGGCTCCAGGTGTCAGCTAGCAAGTGGGCAACTGGCCATGGGATTCTGAAGCACTTTTCCCAGGTAACTTTCATGCTTCTGCAGCACATGACATGGAGTTCACATGCTAGGGACTGACCCAGTGTTTAACAGGGATTCACCACTGGAAATAGTCTTTGAAATTCATAAATTCAAGGCAAGCCTGTTTTATGGGGACTGATAATGCTGTATTAGTTGCTGGAAGTTAATGAGGTCCTGTGTTTGAGTACAACCAGATTAAAATGAAAAACGAACCACATTACATTCTGTTTCGACAATTATTATCAGTTGGTTGTAATATAAATATGCAAATTTTCCAGCTTGAACTTTAACATCCTCTGTAGAGACCATTCATCTCTTTAAAGTATTAATTTAAGTTGTAAAAGGATCCATACATCATTGCATGTCATTTTGAAAACAAATATTAATCAATTTTACACTCTGAATTGCCACTGTGCAAGTGTAATGTCCATTATTTTGGAGCAAGTCAGTGGCAAGAAATTTACATATTCATTCCTAGCTTAAGAAATCATATGATAATACAAGTACAACACAAGAAATTCAAAAGACTTAAGACCTTATCATCATCTATTCAATGGCAAAAAGCCTGCCTTTGCATTCTCAATGCATTGGTATGCAGATTAGGAATATGTTTCTCATTCCTATCAGTATAACCTTGAAAGCTGGTGACAGCTGAAGTGTAGTCATAAGTTTTCTCTTCCAACAGAAAAAAAAAGAAAGAAAAAAAGGCAACAAAATGAGTGTAAAGGATACAGCAATTTCAAGTTTTATGATAAGCTTCTTGATAGTGTATCTGACTACTTAGCTAGACTGTACTGTGTGGGTATGTAGCTTGAAAGTGTGTTATCTCTAGATTTAGCTAGAATTGTAATTGCAAGTGCATCTCTGCTACTAAACTAAAGTTCATATTTCTGATATGAGAGAGCTACACGTGTCTTTTATTAATTACATTTACAGGAAATAATTGAAGGTGTTTGCATGTCAAATACTGTGAAGGACACCAAATTTTATACCAGCTGCCTCCCAGTGAAAGAATACAGAGTTTCCACTTGGAAAGCAAACACTCCCAGGCAAACACTGTGCTGAAAGCCTTGTCTTACTGAAATAAAAAGTAACTAACATCTGCAATCCAGGTAGTTTGCCTGTTTCTTCTCTGGGAATCATAACGATGGAATTATTGGTTTACAGTCAGAATTGAAACAGGCAAAGGCAGAGGCTGCTTCTTCTCAGGTTCGAGTCCAGAGATGATGCAGGTGCATCTCACCTAACGCAAACAAGAGTGCTGCTTCCACTTGAAAAAAGCAAATTGCTATTTTGGTTAGAACTGACGAACTTCAGAAATGCCACTCCTGAGCCCCAAGGTGACAGCTGGAGAAAAGAACAGCAGAGCAGGTACCCCCCCTCATAACCACCTCATCTTCGTCAATTATGCAAAACCAAGCTCTGACATAATTGGCCTAGCAGAGGTTATACATAAGCTCCCTCTAGTGGATTATTAAGCAAGAATTTATAAAAGCACACATCTTTTTCTCCAAGCGTTTTCTGTCACTCAGGGTGAACACGAGAATACCATAGGCACCATGCTGTTCCCGTGCAGCGAGCTGTTATCTCTGTTGTCCTGCTTGCCACCTCAGGAGAGTCTGTGAAACAATGCTGACCATAAACCTGCAGTTACAAAACGAGACGACTGCAGCACTTTTTGGCTGGGCTTGCTGTTCTTCACTCCTTGGCAGGGTCAGTTTGATTGCTGTTTCAGAATGCTGATGTTTCTTAATCATCTCCCTTTGTTTTCTGGTTAAGTGAATGGGTGAATAATTTGCCACACATTCTCTGTCAGTCCGATGTGTTGTGAAAGGACAGTTGAAACAATGCACACACTCTTCGTTTCATAAATTTGTCATTACAGCATAATCAGATCATTTGCACTTATCCTGCTCTCACACAGGCTAATTCTACATTCCTGGAAAAAGTGCACTGGGTTACAGTGCTCTGTCCCTCTATTCCCCTGGGTGTTTTCTTATACCAAAACTGCAAAGACAATGCACAAGACACTTGTGGTACTTATTTGCACAGTTCATGCAGGTCAGAGGAAAAATCATAAAGAGTACATGTGCATGTGGCCAGATTAAAATGCAACAGTACATCAGATATGTCAACTGGATTTAGGATTATAACAGACGTGTAAGCAATTAGGGTATTTGCTAGTTCAAAATACTCACATGAATGAACCCACATTATCTTCTGAAAAGCATAATAATATGTAATTGCAGTAACAATTCCTCTTCCATTATGTCCTAGACATCAACAGTGTGTACGTTCTATAATACCCTGCACAATTGATGGCAGGCAAATGCCTCGGTAAGAGAAATACTCCCAGATGTGGTAATGTCCCAACACTGTGGCTGCTACCTAATATTAAAGAATTACAGTAGAAATGTTTCAATAAGAAAGTAGAAGCATTTCAGTTTTTATGTGGCATAGATTGCCACAGACACTGCCAAGCAGCTTTATAGAGTTCTAAATCTTCATTCAATGCCCCTTTACATCATTTGAATGAAGATTTAAACCTCAATAAAACTTTCTGAGTGCTTGTGGCCATCTTTGCTGTATAGTAATCAAAGTGGGGCACAAGCAGACGAATGCACTGTAGTACACCTAATGATCAACACTATATCTAGTGACATTTCCCTTTGTAAGATGAGTTGTCTTAAAGGCTGTTTTCATGGATGGTGCAGCAGTACACATAGAAACAGGCATTTATATCCAGTTTTTATGCAGTTCTTTAAAAGATTGTGTTGGGAGTTGTGGGGTTTTTTGGTTGTTTTTTTCTCCCTGTGTAATATTTATTTTCTCTATAACTATCTTGAATTAATTTCTTATATGGAAGATATTTGTGAAAAAATAATAAAAAATAAGTGAAAGCTAATATTTAAAGGGTAACTTTCCACAGCATTATGGCTTGTTTACTTATCTGCCTCCAACTGTAATTAAGATATTGCAGTGCAATCAGTTGTGGCATTGAATTAGAAGCTTAAATGAAAATCAGCTTCTAGTTAAGATATTAGCTGGGAAATTCAACACGTGCTTGTGCATAAATGCACATACAAGGTATGACTGAGTGGAATTTGAAAGAAACTACTGTGAGAATATGCCATTGATAG